CCCCAGAGGTCTGGACCCCTTCCCAGGGACTGGCTGTTCACATCCTTACCCATTGTTTGAGGGCCCCGAGGCCCAGGATGGGCCCCCGGAGGCCAAAAAGACCGAGCAACCGCCCGTCATGATTTTTGCACGAAGCGAGGCTCGAACCTGGGTAAACCAAAAGGTACCTACTGCTACCCCCCAGACCTCTCCCAGGGGGGCGTTCTGAAGGGCCTCCCAGGAGGCCCCCCAAACGGGAAAAACGGGCGAGGGGGGTAGAGGTATGGGCCAGGTACCTTTTCTTCCCCCGAGAATCGGAGGAATCGAAATCGTGCCCTATGTTAACTGCCAGACGTCGTGATTTCTTCACAACGTCGACCCCCAGAGGTCTGGCCCCCTCCCCCGGGACCAGCTTCTCCTCGAGAGCCGCTTTTTGCGGGCCCCGAGGCCCAGGAGGCGCCCGTCGTGAGGGGGTCTGGGTATTATGAGCAATCCCAGACATCTGGGTTAACTGCCACTGAGCACCGCCGCGGGGCGGGCCACTGTGGCAACTCATTGGAGCCTCCCATACCATCGTGTCGGCTCGTGCGAATCGACGCTAATCGACCTTAAATCGACGCTAATCGGCGCTAAATCGACGCTCATCGACTCTAACCGACGCTAAAGACGGAATTAAGAGGGTATACCAGGCTCCAATGATTTGCTACCGAAGGCATCGGAGCCGATCGAAGCCGAATCGAAGCGAATCGGAGGAATCGGCATTGAGCCCTGTGTTAACTGCCGCTGAGCACCGCCGCGGGGCGGGCCAGAGAAACCGAACTTCAGATCAGAACCGAAGCCGAACCGAATCGGCATCGGAGCCGATCGAAGCCGAGTCGAATCGAATCGGCCACGAAAACCAGACCGTCAAAATCCACGACGCGCTCGTCAAAAAACGTCGGTCAACCCGAGTCCTGGCTTACTCGAGTCTTACGTTCCCCCGACTGTGAACTGGCACTGAACATCGGCGACGTCGGCGTGGGGAAATTCGGGCTCCACATCGAGCCGCATCTGCGATGCATCGGCGAATCGGCGCGATCCTCCGACCCCATCTACTCGGACCCCATCTAGGACGCCTAGAGGAATCGACATCGAGCCCTGTTAACTGCCAGTGAGAGTCTGTCTCTAGCGTCGGTTCAGTCTCGGCTAGCGTCAATTAGCTAGCGTCGATGTTGCGTCGATCAGCGTCGATTTAGCGTCGCTAAGTGTCGATTCGCAGGAGCCGACAAGATGGTATGGGAAGCTCCCATGAGTTGCCACCGAACGAATCGAAGGAATGGACATCGAGCCCTGTGTCCACTGCCGCTGCGTACCGCCACGGGGCAGGCCAAATAAATCGAACTCCAAACCAACATCCGAAGCCGAACCGAACCGGCACCCGAGCCGCTCGAAGCCGAGCCGAACCGAATCGGAGGCATCGACATCGAAGTCGAATCGAATCGGCTAGAAGAAGAAACAACGCCATAAACTTAAACTTGTGACGCTCCGCGCGGATATCTTGGATCTGCGCTGGACCCCCCTCCCTGGCGCGCGGAGCGCGCCATGGGTGGCGCCAGAGGCGCCGCTGGGGGGACCCAGCGCGGATCCAAGAAATCCGCGCGGAGCGCCGAAAGCTAGTGTTTACGGCGTGCTTTCGTCGAACCGAAGTCTCGACACCGAGCCCTGTGTTCACTGCCGCTGCGCACCGCCGCGGGGCGGGCCACGGCCCCTGCCGCGGGCGCCGCCGCGCGCGTGGCACGGGCGCCGGCGCGCCGGCGCCCCGGCGCCGCGGCGGCCGCGGCCTGCGGCCCACCCCGCGGGGCGGCCGCGCCGCGGCGCGCCGCCGGGCGCCGCGCCGCGGCGGCGGCGGGGCCCTCGTCGCCGCTGCTGGAGGAGCCTGGGGGGGTCCCAGGGAGCCGACGCTCCGACAAATCTGGGAGCGGGCGGTGTTTGGCCGCTGGGGGCCCTCCTCGCCGGGCCTCGGGGCCGCCAAAGAACGGCTCGGGACGAAGAGCCGGCCCTAGGGAAGCGGTCCAGACCTCGGGAGCACGCACACCAACAAAAATTGGAGCGGGCAGATGTCTGGGCTTGCTCATAGTACCCAGACCCCCTCGCGTGGTGAAACAATCACGGCGGGCGGTTTTCCTGTATTTTCGGCCTCCAGGGGCTCCACCTGGCCCTCAGGACCGTCAACAGGAGGAGAAGCCGGTGCCGGGGGAGGGGTCCAGACCTCTGGGGATCGACGCGGTGGTAAAATCACTGCGTCGGGGGTCTGGGCACGGGGAGGGGGCGAGAGGGCAGGACAGCAGAGGGCAGGGTAGAGAATCAGCTCACGTCAGCTGGTTCTCCAGGCGCCGGGAGGCGCCAGTGTATCAGCTCGAGTGGGCCTGGCGGCGGGGCGGGGACCAGCTGCATGCTGCAGATTTTCTGCCCCCCCACCCCTCTCCCTATCCTAACCCTTTTGTCTCCCGATTACGCCAGCTTCATGTCGTGCCGACCTCGGCGTTGGTTTCTGACACCGTGGGGATCGTTCAACCTTGAAAGATCGGCCGTTTTCGAAACGTCCAACTCGTTCCACATCGAACGACTCTGGGTCGCCCGCGGCGTTCAAAATTGAACGCCGCTAGCGGGATCGCCGCTGGTCGACACGACACGAACCTACCGTATATTGGGGGGGCGTTCATAGGCGCAGAAAAACCACACTTGCAAACATCGAAGCGGATCTTCTTCGCCGTTCGCGGCCTCGAGAGGCCCCCGGCTGGGCCCTCTCGTGGACGCTGCTGGAAGAGCCCTTGGCGTTGCCTATGACGGGAGGGGGATACAGTGGGGGCATTGGATAAAGAAACCTTCGATTAGGAATCCAGGGTCTGGAAGCCAGCGGAACTCCAATAGTGGATTGGCGATGGATATCACCGCTGCCCTCATGAGAGAAGGAACCCTTCAGGGTCTGAAGCCCCCTGGGCGCGTTCCTCAACGAACGCCCCCAGCGTACTTATTTCGGTGCCAACGATATCGCTCGGCGGTTTCCCACCCCGATCGGAATTCATTCCTTATATTTTTCGGTGCAGGGATTGACGGGGTGGGGATCGTAACCTGGGCCTCCAGGTTGAATGGCCAAGAGATCCGAACACATTGACAGTGGCCTGGCGAAGGACCCAAGCATCTGCAGTTGTGGGTGCCGCAGTTGTGAGCGTTGCCGTCGGTGGAGCTCCCTGTGGGACCACGAAACGTGTGAGAGGTGTGCCGAAACTAGGGTGAAACCGCATGAGAACCCTGCCACTGGGGCCTTCGATGGAGCTTCCTATGGGGCAATCAAACGTGTGAGGGGCGTGCCGAAATGTGAGTGGAACCAGATGCGAACCCTGCCACTGGGGCCTTCGGTGGAGCTGCCGACGGGGCCACGAAACGTGTGCGGAGTGTGCCGAAATTGGGGTGGAACCGCATGCGAACCCTGCCACTGCGGCCTTTGGTGGAGCCCCCTGTAGGGCCCACGAAACGTCTGATGGGTGTGCCGAAATGTAGGTGGAACCGCATGCGAACCCTGCCACTGGGGCCTTCGTCGAACCTCCCTATGGGGCCACGAAACGTGTAAGGGGTATTCCGGAATTCGGGGTGGAACGGCGTGCGAACCCTGCCACTGGGGCCTTCGGCGGAGCTCCCGATGGAGCCAGGAAGCGTGTGAGGGGCGTGCCGAGATGGGTGTGGAACCGCATGCGAACCCTGCCACTGGGGCCCTCTGTGTAGCTCCGAACGGGGCCACGAAACGTGTGAGGTGGTACCGAGTTGGTAGAACCGCATGCGCATCCTGCTACAGGGGCCTTCGGCGGAGCTCCAAGTGGGGCCACGAAACGTGTGAAAGATGTGCCGAAATGGGAGTGCAACCGCATGCGCATCCTGCTGCAGGGGCCCTCGGTGGAGCTCCCTATGGGCCCACGAAACGTGTGAGGGGTGTGCCGAAATTAGGGGTGGAACAGCATGCGAACACTGCCACTGGGGCCTTCGTCGAACCTCCCTATGGGGCCACGAAACGTATGATGGATGTGGCGAAATCGGGGTGGAACCGCATGCGAGCCCTGCCACTGGGGCCTTCGGCGGAGCTTCCTATGGAGCCACGAAACGTGTGAGGGTGCAAGGGATGGGAGGAGGGAGGAGGGAAAGGAGGAGGAAGGAAGGAAGGAAGGAAGGAAGGAAGGAAGGAAGGAAGGAAGGAAGGAAGGAGTGACGCAAGGCGCTGTCTCTTCAAAACGAAGACCCAACACTACAAGATGGTTGGGAAATATCGAAGCGGACATGTTTCACAGCCTTCGGCCTCTAGACACCCTCGCCGGGCCCGATGACAATCAGAAAACGACTCAGTATGAAAGACCAATCCCCTGGGCTGGGTCGATACCTCTGGGGATCCTGCAATGAACCAAAACCAGGACGTAGGATCTCTGAGGGGTCGAGGAAACGTAACCTTTCGTGCCCCTGTTTGGCCCAATGGGCCCATTTGGGGCTCTCGGAAGGGCCCCAAGGTGCACGAAAGGTATTCTGTGCAGGAATGGGCAGGTTGCGTCCTTTTAGCGCCAATTAGTGCCTATCAATGTCCTTACTAACGTCCTTTAGCCCTTATTAGCGCCTATCTGCGCCGATTCGTGTCGACTAGCGCCTGGTAGCGACCACTAACAAGAAATAGTCAACGTCCACAGCCGGGGAAGACGAGAACTCAGACTTACAGTTATCCACACGCATAACACATCTAACTTCCTCGACCCTGAGACGAAGCCAAGACAGGGAACAAGTCGGGTGAGGATGAATCGGTAACCTCTGATATCCAACGGATCTGGAGGATGTCTCGGGCGCCGCGGCCTTCTCAGAGCGTTTCGCAACGCTATGAAAGCGTTCTGGAACGTTCTGGAACGGGTTGATCCTCGTCCTAGCCCTGTCCGACGCCACTCGCTGATCGCCCACAAGGCGCACTTTTCTTCCCCCCTCGCCCACCCCGTTACGCAACGCCCGAGGGCCAGTGGCGCCGCGTCCAGTCGGAGGCTCCACCGCCTTCCAGGAGGCGTCGGGCGCCACGAGGACCTCCTCTGACGGGGAAGCGATAGTCGGCGACGAGCAAGGGGGAGAAGCGAGGAGGGGCGGGCCCTCTCAGAAAACTCGGAAGTCCCCTGGCCTTCTGAGAAGTTCTTCTAGACCTTCCCCGAAGGCCCAGAAGACTTCCTAGAGGGCTAGAGGGCTTCCGAGAAGCTCCGCCGCCCTCTGAGAAAACCTTTTCCTTCTCACTTCCCTCCCTCGTGGGAGCGACTCGAGGGGGGGAACAGCGAGCTTGAAGCGGTGGTGCATCGCCGATGCATGCGCGACGGGCACCCGACGGCGAAGCCGCTGGTTTTCCTGGACGAGGCGGGCTGCTCCTCCACCCCGTCGGCAGTGGCGGCGAGCACTCCCTCCACAAAGGTGTCGATGCAGAGGTCGGCCGCCCTCAGCCTCGAGGATTGCCACAACCCAAGACGAAGCCAGGACGAGGACAAATTCGGGCGAGGATGCATAGGGAATGTATGAGATCTGGCGTCTCTTGAGGACGTCTCGGGCGCCGCGGTCTTCTCAGAGCGTCCTGGAACGCTGTGCGAGCGTTCTGGAACGCTCTGGGATGGATTTATCCTCGTCCTCGCCCCGCCCTTTCGCTGAACGCCCTTTCGTAAAAACTGCTGGGGCCTTCCACGGGTGCGCGCAACACCGCATTCCGAGTGCATCGGGACGGAGCCACTAATCGACATCCAAAACTAAAAGACAGAAACACCAACCTGGTGATAAGCACCCCAGCAAGCGAAGTCTATTAGCAAGCGCACCTGAGTAAGGGATTCACAGGGCAAGCCAGTTTAGTAAACGCCCACAGCTGTTTAGCAAACGCCCTCTACAAAGGGTCGAGCTGTTTTTTCCTCCCTCGAAGAACAACCGAATGTATCCGGCGCGCATGCGTCGATTAGCGAAACCGACCAGGGACTGCACGATACACTCGTATGCCAATGTCGAGTGGACCCGTGCAGATTCCCTCAGTCGGCTGCTCTGGGTGGGCGTTTTCTCAATGCCCGACACGGAGCCCCGACTGGCCCTGCCCACGCCGCCAGAACATGAATCAACAACCAATCGGCAAATCGAATCACGAATCGACGTCCAAAACCAGTCGAACGTACCCCGCGAAACGCTCGCCGAGTGAGCCCGTGCAGATTCTCCTCCGTCGATCTGTCTGGGTCTGGGCGAGCGGTCTCTCGAGGCCCCACGGCCCGAGGCTGCAGAGCGGGCAGCGCCACCGGCTGTTGAAGGCGCGGGTGCGGACGTTGGCCACCAGGTACGCGTCGAGGTCCATGCACTGCAGGTGCCTGCACAGCCGCCCGCGCGCTGGGGCCGACGTCGGGCGCGAGAGCGTGAGAGGGCACCTGGCAGAGGACAACCACTGCACAGGCCCAGAGATTGGCGACGCGCACAAGGGAGTGGGGAGAGGGGGGAAGGCTTCTCAGAAGCAGGCTGCTTCCGAGAAGGAGCCGGCCCTGCATCTATAGATAAGGCCCGCGCCTTCTGAGAAGCAGGGGTGCTTCTAGGCAGCCCTCCGCCCTCCCCCCGCGCCCCTCTGCGCGTGGCTGAAGACACTCTCACAGGTCTCCGCGGATTTCTTGGATCGGCGCTGGACCCCCCTCTTGCCATCGATCGGGCGTCCATTCCCCATGCACGGCCTGCTCGTGTGCGTGACTCGCATGTGTTTCTCGAGATGGTCCACGGTGCTCCGACATGGTCCAAATTTCCTGGCACTGACCTCGCCGAGAAGCATGCGCATACATACGAACTCAGCTGGCCCTGGAAACAGCAGGGCCGCTTCGCTCCCGCTGCCGTCGTGCCGGTTCCCTTCCGGTTTCGGCACAAGCTGTGTTCCCGGTTCCGTCGCCGAGTGTTTGCTGGTTCCCGTTCCGGCTTCTATCCCGAAGCAAAGCTGTTCGTAAACTTCGAAGGAACGGCCCTGCCGTTGTCGCGGCCAACTGGGCGTCCGAGCGATGCCAAGCCCTTCATTGCGCGCTCCGCGCGACAGGAAGGGCGCGGCCGTAGCAACAGGCGTCTCCTGCTCTCGCGGCGCACGATGGCGCTATTGGGGCACCCTGGATCCCAAGACGGCCCGAAGAGCCCCCTCCCCTTTTTGGATCGGCGCCGTGCGCCGCTGGGTTCCAACGCCGATCCGAGAAATCTTTGCAAACCTCCGAAAATTCACCTTCATGGGAAAACTACAGAGTACCGATACCGTTACCCCCCGGACCTCGCCCAGGGTGCTTTCTCACACGGATTTCGAAGCGAATCCAGCGGTGGCGACGAGGGCCGCCCAAAAGGCCCAAGAAGGGGAAAACGGGCGAAGTTTAGTGGTACGGGTACCTTCCCCTCCTCCGAGATTTGTCGTTCCTGCCGATTTGAGCGACGATTAAACAGGCCTTACGCGAGATGACGTAGCGACCTTACGCCGCGGCTTACGCGGGCCGCCGGCGTGGCACGCCACAGTGGAGACGAGGGCGCTTACGCGCGACCTTACGCGGGCAGCTTACGCGCGAACGTCGGCGCAGACGACCCCCCTTCATGGCGTCGCTCATTTGTCCTTCCTGAAGCACCGTAGCTGCAGCCGCTCGTCGCCCACGCACTCCACGCCGCCGCCGCCACTCGTGCCGGCGCCCGCGGCGCCCGCGCCGGGGCGCGAGGCGAGCAGCGCGCGGACGCGTGCCAGGTCGCCCTCGACGTCGTTGCGCTCCACGCGGCTCGCCTGTTTGACCAAAGAGGGTCCCCTAACCCTTTGGGAGGGGATCTAAGCTAGGAGGACCAAGAACATAAGGGGTGGGGGGTCTTTTCTGCAGATGTATCGACCGCCCAGATTTATGATCCCTACTCTGAAGACGGGGCCCTCACTGAGGCCACGTCTTCATTCTGCTATTAGGGTTAGTCGTATCTTATCATCGATGATCGCCAGCTCCACGATCGGGCACGCCGCCACGCGCACCACCGCGAAGACGTACTCGCTCTTGAGGTCGTCCTCGACTGTGAGTTCCAGGTCGTTCCTGCGGCCGCGCCGAGCTCGAGAGGGTCAGGAAGAGGGGAGGGGGGCGGGCGCATCAGGGCCCGAGGCACGTGCGCGGACAAAGTGGGGGGCCAGGGGATGCATGAAGGAAGAAGAGGGAGGACATAGCCACGGCCCTGGCCATGGTGTCTGCACACATGCAGTCCTCCCCTCTTCCTGGATGCCCTCGAGCTCCTGCCGCGGCGAAGCTTGGTTGAGATATTCACGGGCAGGTCCCTGCGCTTGGACAGGCGCGGGGGCGCCTTTACGCGCAGCACGTCGTGCCCGTTGACGTCCAGCTGGAAGACGCGTGGCCAGGCCTGGTTGAGCAGGCGCCCCTGATCCAACTCGCTCCTGACGTTGCATCTTCGGGGGCGCCTCCAATGTCCCATCGCGCCACCTATCTGTGCCGAGTCCGTTCCGAGTCCATGTCAAACATATCTAATCCGCGCAGCCACGTCGGACCCGCCTCGGGTGCGAGAGAAGACCGCCGTCAGCAGGACAGACAAGGACCCCCGAAGATGCATTTTTGGGGAGGGGGGCGGCGGGGACGTCACCGATCTTGTTCTGACTCGAACTCCCTCTGGCCTGCGAGCCGCAGCCCCTGAGACCGGGGGGAAAACAAAAATCTGCGCTTGTCGTTCCTGGCCGCCCTCGCGTTGCCAGGGCGGCAGGCGCGTGTCAGGCCCGAATCCCCGAAGATGTAACGCAATGCTCCTTCGGAATAATCCGAGAGGTACCGATGCATCTGCTCGCCGGGCCCCTCCCAGGGAGCGCTCGGGCCTGAACTCCGAGTCGAACCCCAGCGGTGGCGACGAGGCCCTCCGTCGGGCGCGACCTGGCCGACCCCTAGCTGATCATCCCCTTCGGTGACGTCGTCCTCGCCCTCCACGCTTCCCGCCGGCCGCACACACACACAGCACAGCACAGCACAGCACAGCACAGCACAGCACAACACAACACAACACAACACAACACAACACAACACAACACAACACACACACTCTCACACACACGCACACACACGCACACACACAACACACACACACACACACACACACACTCTCACACACACGCACACACACGCACACACACACACACACACAACACACACACACACGCGTCGTGGGGCGAGGCGAGGGGGACGTCACGCAAGGGGATGGTGTGCCAGGGGTCACTAAGGCCACGCCTGACTCCGAAAGGGAAACCGAGGCGAGGGCAGCGGCATCGGAGCCTTTTCTTTAGTAGGTGCCGACCGTCCCGGCTTTCATGTAGGCCTACCACGACATGTTCTTAGAACCCCAAAGTGTTCTGATAGTACAAGCAACAACATTAACAACCATTGTAAGACTGTTCGCTCGTATCTGCTCGAGTGTCCGTCAACGTGTATTTCCCAAACCCTCGATGCCCGCCCTCTTCGTCTTCGATCGTACCCCTTTTCGGGGGTATATCTTTCTTTCCTGCCGGCCTGGCTCCGGTAAGCGGCAGTCGGCCGCGGACCGTCGGCCTGGCCAGCGGCAACGCTGATCGGCAGCAACCCGACCCCAAGAGGGACGGACAGGGGACCGACAACCACGACGACGACGACGACGACGACGACGACGACGACGACGACGACGAGCGAAAGCGAGAGCGAGAGCGAGAGCGACAGCGGGGCCAAGAAGGGCAGGAATGGGGCCACGAAGGGCGACAGCGGGACCACGAAGGGCATGCGTATGGGGCCACGCAGGGCGCGAACGAGCGGGGGCCACGAAGGGCAGAGAATGCGGGGCCACTGAGGGTAGCAACGGGGCCGCGTAGGGCAGCGAGGGGGCCAGAAAGGGCGATAGCGGGGCCACGAAGCGCATGCAGATGGGGTCACGACGGGCGCTAACGAGCGGTGGCCACGAAAAGAATGCATATATGGGGCCACGAAGGGCTGCAACGGAGCCACGAGAGGCTGCAACGGAGCCACGAAGGGCAGCGAGGGGGCCACGAAGGGGTGCAACGGGACCACGAAGGGCAGCAAGGGGGCCACGAAGGGCTGCAACGAGACCACGAAGGGCAGCGAGGGGGCCACGAAGGGCTGCAACGGGGCCACGAAGGGCAGCGATGGGGGCCGCGAAAGGCTAGGGCAGCGATGGGGGCCGCGAAAGGCTGAAACGGGGCCACGAAGGGCAGCGAGGGAGCCGCGAAGGGCCGCAACGGGGCCACGAAGGGCAGCGAGGGAGCCACGAAGGGCTGCAACGGAGCCACGAAGGGCCGCGAGGGGGCAACGAATGACTGCAACGGGGCCACGAAGGGCAGCGATGGGGGCCACGAAAGGCAGCGAGGGAGCCACGAAGGGCTGCAACGGGGTCCCGAAGGGCAGCGAGATCCCGATTCCTAGGGAAGCTGGTGTAGGTGAGTCCTAAGCGTGAGCGCGACTCCTGGGTGCCTTAGTGTCGGGAGCGCGGCGCGTGAGTAAATTGCGGGAAAGTCCAACGCAAGAAGACGATTCTTCAATCAATTGCAAGCCAATGTCCATCGAGAGCGCGACTCCAGAGCGCCGAGAGAGCGACCAGTTAATAAAGTGCAAGAAAGTACCAAGCGGGAGCGCGATTCGTGGAAACAATCGGGGAAGCCTCAGGCGGGAGTGGAGGTCCTGGCTAAATTGTGGGGAAGATTCAGGTGGAAGCCGTTGTTGAATATTATTACTTCTAAAGAAATATTATTGTTGAGACCCCTGGTGCGCGACCCCCCTCCAAAACCTAGGCCGCAGCCTCATTTCCTTCATTTTCTAGCGAAAGCTTCAGAAAAGTGGATTGTGTCCGGATCCGGTTGTTTTGTTGTAATCCGTTTTCCCTTGCAAAAAACACTATAAAATGAAAATTCTTGTTCTTACTTGATCAAATTGCAAGAATCCCTTGCAAAAAATAAGGTAAAGTGGACATTCGTGCGCGCAAGACGAAATCCTTCCAAAACCTTAGGTTTCGTAGCGATTTTAACATAAAAACATCAAAAACCCAATGGTTTTTTAAGAAAAAATTGTCAAAATGTCCTTCCGCGCGCGCTGTCCGAATCCCACAAAACCAATGGTTTTTCAACATTTATGTTACATGAGCTCGCGCGAGCTACTTTTTCTTGTTCTAACATAATCAAATTTCAATAATCCCTTGCAAAAAATAAGGTAAAGTGGACATTCGCGCGCGCAAGACGAAATCCTTCCAGAACCTTAGGTTTCGTAACGATTTCAACATAAAAACATCAAAAACCCAATGGTTTTTCAAAAAAAATGTCCAAATTTCATCCCGCGCGCGCTGTCCGACTCCCACAAAACCAATGGTTTTTCAACATTTATGTTACATGAGCTCGCGCGAGCTACTTTTTCTTGTTCTAACATAATCAAATTTCAATACTCCCTTGCAAAAAAAAAGTAAAGTGGACATTCGCGCGCGCAAGACCAACAAAAAACACGACGATCTCAGGAACTTGCCCCAAAAATGTGACCAACTCCGCTCTCTCTGTCTCTCTCTCTGTCTGCTCTCTGTCTCTCTCTCTGTCTGTCTGTGTCATGTATTGTATGTCACAATTGCAGGATGCTGGGCACACGCGCGCCCCGAATAAGTGACCAAGTTCTGTGGGGGTGTACCCCACGCCAGTGTAGTAGCCACGGTCGTCCGCACGCCACGAAGTGAAGTGTCCCAACGTCATAGGGCGGGAAGCTGGGTTTGGGTGGTCGCGAAGAGTCGTTTGGATATTTGGTAGAGCTTGAACTGCCCCCCCACGAAGTGGGGGTATTGTCTCGCGTCGCATGAAAACCCTGGCACTGGTGAGAACACTGAGCGTTCGGGTAAAATGATTGTTGTTGTTGTTGTTGTTGTTGTTGTTGTTGCTGGTGTTGTTGTTGTAATCAAGGTGCCAACAACCCAGCTTGAGACCTGTGACATTCCCTGAAACAAAACAGGGTGCGAGCCCTGGAGGAGACACGTCAATTGAATAAACACCATGGTCACAGGAGGGGGGATCAATAATACTTATTTTCAATCAACAATGACCCCAATGCGACCCTACCGGAATTGGAGCCTCTAGGAAAGCAACATTCGTAGGAGCGGTAAACGCCGTCCTCCTCCTTCTCCTCATCGTCTTAGTTGTAGCAGTAGCGGTAGTAGTAGTAGTAGTAGTAGTAGTAGTAGTAGTAGTAGTAGTAGTAGTAGTAGTAGTAGTAGTAGTAGTAGTAGTAGTAGTAGTAGTAGTAGTAGTAGTAGTAGTAGTAGTAGTAGTAGTAGTAGTAGTAGTAGTAGTAGTAGTAGTAGTAGTAGTAGTAGTAGTAGTAGTAGTAGTAGTAGTAGTAGTAGTAGTAGTAGTAGTAGTAGTAGTAGTAGTAGTAGTAGTAGTAGTAGTAGTAGTAGTAGTAGTAGTAGTAGTAGTATGTAGCTAATGCTAGCTAGCTATGCTATGCATATGCTGTGTGCTATGCTATTCTATGCTATGCTCTGCTCTGCTATGCTGTGTTATGCTATGCTGCGCAATGCTATGCTGGGCTAGGCTAAACTAGGCTATGCTATGCTATGCTGCGCTATGCTATGCTGCGCTATGCTATGCTATGCTGTGCTATGCTATGCTTTTGGTTTGCCTTCGCTTTTGCCTTCACGTTTGCCTTTGCGGTTGCTGTTGCTTGGCACCCAGGGAGCGCAACTGGGGGAACCGCGCGTTTGCTTTTACCTTTGCTGTTGCTTTTGCTTGGCTCCCAAGGGACTGGGGGAACCGCTCGGGGCGGTTTGCCCTGCCCGGCCCCTTTAAGCCAAGCGAGTAAGAACCCTTCTAGGCAGAGCCTAGGTAGGGAACAACACCATCAGCAACAACAACAACGTTCTCAGAACACAAACCCGATGTGTTGAACCAAGACGGCCTCAGCCAGAAATGTTCTAAGACCATTCCGTGCAGACCACACAAGGTTTTCAGAACATTCTTTGGCGGACCTATAGGCGAGCCAGGACGCTTCGTCACTGCTCGAGAACAAATCCCCCCGAAGATGCAACGCAACGATGCAGCCTTCTGAGAGGTTTTCTAAGCCTTCCCCGAAAGCACCGAAAACCTCTCACAAAGATGGGAGGGCTTCTGAGAAGCCCCGCCGCCTTCTGAGAGGGCCCTCTCCTTCTCACTTTCCCCCCCCCCCTCGCTCGCCGCCGACATCTGGCGCCCCCCCAAGGGAGCTGCAGCGCTCCTTCGCCGCAGCATCCGCGCCTCGACGTCGGCGCCGCGCTTCCGCCACACGCGGAGGTCCGGCAGGTCGAGGGCCACGTGGCTGGTGGGGCTGCGCAGCGGGGCCATTCGGGGGCAACGATAGGAGGGGATGAACACAGGGGGGGGATGCATCGACCCCCCATCGCCCATTCATCGCCGACAGGGGCCCGATAGCCCCAACCCGCCCAGGAACGTGCGGATCTACTATTGGGGGCCTATCGCTGATCTATCGGCGATGTATCGCCGGTTCCAGGTCGATGTTCCCCCCCCCTATGCTCTGTGCCTATCCCCCCCTATCGTTGCCCCTGAGCCATGCTCGGAGGAAGGCCGGCTCAGGACCACGGCGGCCCTCCCGCCAACAAAAACTGCAAGGAAAAGTCTCTTCCCTGCACCTGATACCGATTCCGGAAACCCCGAGCCCCAAAACGTTGCTATCTCTCGGGAGGCCGATGCTTACCTCCGCCGGCTTCCGCCGGCCTTCCGCTGGCGGATGCCATGCGCTCTCATTATACTTCAGCCGACCTTCCACCGCCTTCCGCCGGGGGAGAGCTGCCAACTCCTTCGACCCTCAAAGCGAGACCGTTTCTGCAGCGCCTCAAGTGCCGAAGTTTCCCCCACTAGCTTTGAACCGTACTGCCTTGGGGGATTATGCGTTTCGCCACTAAACTTGCCCGTGGTCCAGCTGTGCTCTGTAGGGCTGGCCTTTCTAGTACCCGCAATACACGCAGACTCCCGCCGGGCCGAAATCCGCTCAAAATCGGCCCCAGGGCCCCTCCAGAGAGGTCCACCCTGGCCCCGCTTAGGACGCGGACCAAGCCGTGGCGACGAGAAGCTTCAAAGAAACCCTAAAATCTTGGTCGAACCCACACCTCCTTTTTCACGGCCTCGCGGGCTGGGCCCCATAGGTCGCGACCCCGCGGATGATGCCCCGCGCGGACCGCATCCGTGCGACCGCGAATCCGCGGGATCGCGCCCTAGAATCCAGACCCGAGGGCGTGTATATGCAAAAAGGGGTGAACAAAAACAGCGGGGAGGCCCGCCGCTGCCTCAGCTGGCACTCCCCCGAGATGTTCGGCTTCGCGTAAGAGTGACGCTAGGCTTAAGTCGGGCCCGTCCCCCTACAGGGGGATTTTCGACGAAACATAAAAAAAAATCCACCAAATATAATCAAAAAATAGCCCAAGCATAGTCTGGGGACTATGGTTTGAATTTCTTTTCACCTGTTTGGAGTATTTTGGGGGTATGTTTTATTTTTCGTCGAAAATCCCCCTGCAGGGGGACACGCCCGACATGACGCTAGGCAAGATTGGCCAGTGGTGCGCGGCTTGGAGGAGGAGCGGGGGGGCTCAAGAAAAATCGAGCGGGCAAGCTGCTTCGGGCCATGGCTGGGGGCACCCTCGTGACCCTGCATGAATAGGGAGCGCACAAGGGACGTACGCGCCCGACCACGCACATGAATATGGCCCCCCAAGTCCGCGGGTAAGCTGCTTCAGGCCATTAGAGGAAAGAGAACTATGCACATACACCGATTCTGGCCAGGCCCACCCTGAGCCCAGGATCGGTGCATACGCCCTCCTACCTTGGCCAGGAAGGTATATGCACCGATCCTGGGTCAAGGATGGGCCTTGCCAGGATCAGCGCATGTGCATAATTCTCTTCGCCCGATACATAGGGAGCGCACAAGGGACGTACGCGCCCAAGCACGCACATGAATAGGGCCCCCCCCCCAGTCCGCGAGACCGGCCTCGTGATACGAGTGTTCGCGCAATGCGCACATCCAAAACCAACGTGGATCCACGTACGTGTACGTCCTCCTTTAGCTCTTGAACAGAAGGTCGCAGCGGCGAGAGGTCACTCTTACGCGAAGCCGGGATGTGCAGTATGTGGTCCGCCTCCCGGACCGGGCGGAGCGGGTCCATCGCGCGGAAGCAGCAGCGCGCGCACAGCGGCTCGTCGAACGCGCCGCAGCACAAGCGCAACTCTGGGCCGTCGTCCTCCAGGGCGAGCCCGCAGGAAGACCAGGCAGTACCAAGGGGAGGGCACCGCCAGGGGGGGCCACCACCTCCTCGAGTGAGGTGGGCGCGGCCTTTCCCATCTGGTGCCACTATGCCAGCAGCGTCGTGCCATCTAATTACCTCGTGGTTTCCTGGTGCATCATCTTGGGAGCCATGCGGAGATGGCGACGCCCCCTAGCGTTTTTCATTCACCACATCTTCGAAGCACCATCACCATCACACCGCCACTAACACCACTATCAGCATCCCATCATGACCACCGACCACAACCATCATCACCATGACCAGCATTATCATCATCAGCATCACCATTATCATCATCAGCACTCACTCACTCACTCACCCACCCACCCACCCAACCACTCAATCACTCACTCAGATTCGTGCACCACTTCGTCACTCATTTATCGTCATTTCATCAATGTCACAATCGTCCTCATCACTAACCCCATTGCCCTGGATGATAAAGCATCCCCCTT